GTTTTCCAATGCATCTGAACTATGTCTAACACCAGAACAAGTGGATTTTGATTAGAAAATAAAACAAATTAAAAACAGAGATACAGTTTGAAAATAGTGTTGCCACTCAAGTTTGGAAGTGGAAAAGAAATTTGCATTAGAAATTTGATATATTACTTCAGTTGCACTGACACTGAATGGTATCCCTCCACTGCTTTATAGACCAGTGAGAGTACTGTACTAGATCCATGAGAATCAGCATGTATAGTTTTATATTGTCTTTGTGGTGTACCAAGCCTCCAAAAAGATTTGTTGCCTGTAGAGTGAACCCCTGGTATAATATTAGGCCTAACTCCTTCATAATTTAAAGAAATGGTGAATGGAATAATTGAAATGCTTTGTCTCTTGATATTTGAGCAAAAAAGGATGAGAATTAATGGTCGTGGTTCAGATATATTAGAATCCAAGCAAATCAGGCAGAATTAATCTATTGCAGATTATCCTTCCATAAAAATGTGAGCTAGAGATGAGCAACATGCGGTATGTTCCCCTCTCCCTCCCTCCCTCCTTTACCCTTTCTTCATTTTCTAGACTACCTGCTGAATTCAACAGCATGCTGGTCAATTGAACCCTGTTTTTCACTAAAACAAGGATCCTGGGGAAGGGATATTTTAGAATAGGTACACACTCTCCTAAGCCTCCTGAAAGGGTCCATACCTTCCAGTGTTTCACAGATAAAACTGGGACACATGTCGCCAAGCAACACCTGAATTTGATTGAGATAGTAAAAGGTACTAATGAGGAAGAAGATGCAAGTAGGAGAGGCAGCAGCAGTTTACTTTTGTCAGAGTCTACACAGGGAAGGACCAGATCCCACCTCTTCCTCTCCTTTCTACTGAGTTAACTGAGTGTAAACTACTTTTGCACTTTGAACTCAGTTTGTAACAGCTGAAGGACACTGAGGATGTGAGGGGGAAGTGAGGGGAGAACAGAGAAAGTGGGGCATTTTAAAAGCAGATGAGAAGATAGGATGGCAGAGTATGAATCATGGTTGTCCCTGCCAAAATAGGGATAGTTGGAGGGTATAAATACCTTATTTGAATAGAAAAATTCAATTTCTGGCATTGTGGAAATGGACATTTTCCACCTTTGGTTGTTGTGTGCAGCCAACCTTAAGTAGTACTGAGAAACTGGGTAGGGATCTGTCTCCAGTACAATCTGGAGGGCTGAAACTGGCCTTCACACCCTCTGATGTTGCACACCCTGGGCTAAATTACTCGACTAAAGTTCCACTTCCACCCCTTCCTCTCACTCAGTTCTTGGTACTTGAGACAAGACCTTTCTGCTCTTGAGCTATAGAAAATGCCTAAGGCTCCTGCCACACTGCAGAAATAATGCAGTTTGACACCAGATTGACTGTCATGTCATCCTAATGAATTCTGGGATTTGTACTTTGTTGTGACACCAAAGCTCTCTGATAAAGTGCCTTTACAGATTGCCAGAAATAATGCAGATTGAGGCCACTTTAATTGTGCTGGCTCAGTGTTAGGGAATCATGGGAATTGTATTTTTTTTCTGGGACATTGAGCCTTCTCTGTCAGAGAGCTCTGGTGCCACAATAAACTATGATTCCCTAGCACTGAGCCAGGGCAGTTACAGTGGCCTCAATCTGCATTATTTCTGGCAGTCTGTAATGTGTATCGGGACAGCATCTGAACCAAGGGTAATGAGCATGATGCAATGCTTAGGCAATATTGCAAGCAGCCTAATGTATAAGAAACACAGCTCAGTGTGAGCATATGTGGGTCATTGTAGTTGGTCAGTGGTTCGTGCTTGTGAGTTTGTTGGAGAGTTCCTGTATTGCTGAGAGCTGGAGAAGGACAAAGCCTGTTGATGCTTTCATCCAAGAAATCTACATCTGTTGTAAATAGTTTTTGCCTCGTATCCTGTGTAAATTAACTGCAGCAGTTGGCTTCCACATATTGTTTGGGAGTATCTCAAGATACTAAAATTCAGTCATGCCGTGCCTCAGCATCGACAACAATTACTTTCAGTTTACATGACATTTTCTTTAGCTTGGTGGCACAATTTGTTGCTTCTTTTTTGGTCAGTTTCAGAACTCTGAACATCACAGATGCTTTCTATCCCTACTATTGCATTGGGTTTTGTTGACTTTTTATTTTTATTTTATTTTTGCATATACATGTTCAATTAGGCATATCTTGCCTTGTTAGAATGAAGCCAGTTGTGAAGGGACATCTCAAACCAGTTCTGAACCATTTGGTAGAAGGTGCAATGAACTACTTCATGAAAATGCTCCCAATTTCAATGAATGACAGTCTTTTCCAGCCACATGTCATATGAAGGACATTGGCAATCTCTTACTTAAACAGAAATTTCCCATTTCCATGGGGAAAAGGGTTTTCTTACAGCTCAGTGCAAATTGATGTTTTGACTCTTGTGTTAATGAGCTGTCTATCTTTATTAGTTGCTCTCATTGCTCTTTATAATTGATATACTCTATTAGTCTGATTTTGAATCTTCACAGTCTGATATGAAGGTGGTTTAATATATGAGGAGTTATGCTACAATATAGTTTCTGTCAAGCTCCTTGTATCTGGAGCATTTATTTTTGAAAACTGATCTATTAGGTAGGAAGATGTAGCACTGAGAATCATTCCCACATCTGTTGAAAGTCCCCAAAATAGATGTGAAATCTGAATATCTCCATGAGATAAACCAATGAACATGGTTATTGTCAACATTTGTTTTATATACCCATGATCTTGTTGATTTATTAGGTTTGGGCAAAGATGATCATCATTTCTGCATAGCTGTTGATTACATCTGAATTTCAGATATCCAGTGTAACACAGAAAAAGCAGCTGGGAAACATCACAGTTAGAGCTGGATTGCTGAAACAGAGGATCAGTCAATCAGTATATTCCAGTCACAACCCAGTTACAAACAGCTTTAATGTAGCCTCTAAAATTAGAACAAATTGATACTGGGCAGATTCTTGTTGATGCATTAGACAAGAATATGTTCTTTCATGGAAGCAGTTGGGCACTTTTGCACAATGCAGAATATCCACCTTCAGTTTAGAGTTGAGAAGGCTTGATCCACTGGTGTGGAGGGTTCTTTGTCCATGACTGTGGTCCTGATCTACATGGAACTTTCCACCTGGAAATGTATATAGGCTACTGCCACACTGCAGAATGAATGCAATTTGACACTGCTTTAATTGTCATGGCACCATCCTATGGAATCCTGAGATTTTTAGTTTGTTATGGCACTAAACATCTCTGACAGAGAAGGCTAAATGTCTCACAAAACTACAGTTCCCAGAATTCCATAGAATTGAGCCATGGCAGTTAAAGCAGTGTCAAACTGGATTATTTCTACAGTGCAGATGCAGGTGAAGTGGAGTTATGCATGAGATTCCATTACACATGCAGACACATGGATATGTGTGGGATGTGTGTGTACACTGGGTTGTGCATTTGATTGCACAGTGCTGCTATTCAACACATTGGTTGCAGGCCATGATCATTGCACAACTTGTCAAGCAATTGCAATGTCACATCTCAACCATTTTTTTTTAAAATCAAAACAGGTCTTGTCTGCATTTGTTTTAGAGATGTTGTACCATGCACATATTTGGGGATGAATTGATGTCACAATATTGTGTAAAACATCAAAGTCACATGAGAAGACATTTCCAGTTCCTGAAACAAAGACAAATTTCAGTTATGGCCTGACACCAGAGTTATTCCCATGGTAGCCATTGCAAAGTTATGGCTGCCTGACCCTATAAATTGCTACAGTGACCAAAAATCTCATGAGATTAGATGGAAAAGATTGTAGCACTATCAGTGGGGATGATCTACTGCAGGGGATGTAGGGGATTGTAGCACTATCAGTGGGGATGATCTAACCTTTTTTGCCGGCGGGCTGGGAGGGGGGCAATGGTCCTTGGGGCCAGTGTGCGTGCTTGCGCATATGCACGATGGCGGGGTGCCATTTTGGCAGCTGCAGAGGTCCCCCAGGAGGGCTCCCTTGACCACACTGGGCCTTGAAGAGGCCCAACGTGGCTGCAGGGGTCCTCCAGGGTGCCATTTTTAGTTCCAAAATGGCACCGGAGTGTTGTGCAATCTTTCCCATTGTGGGGCAGGATGGGAAAGGTCGCATGAGACTCTGGGTGCCATTTTGGAACACAAAATGGCACCTCGGAGGACCCCGCGGCCACGAAAGGTGGCAGCGGCGGTAGTGGCAGGACTGGGCAGGGGCCGGTCAGCAGGCCTCGGCGGGCTGGGTGCGGACCGCAGCCCATAGGTTGCCAACCCCTGATCTACTGTATCTACTGCTGCTGCTATTATACGATTCAGCTCAAATGCCAAAAGAAAAATAATGACAATCACTTCCTCACTGCTATTGTTCATGTCAAGTGACTGCTCTGCTTGACTTCTATTATAAAACATACTGAAGTTCATTGTGAGGAACAGCCACAACTATCTCTTACAATATTTTCTTGATTCTGCCAATGGATTATTTATGTGCACACACAACTTCCAATTTGGCTAAGCCCACCTCCTATCATCACCTCTTTCCTAATGCACTCTTTGTGAGGGACCTCCATCAGATAAGTAGTCTCAGAACAAGGTGGGAAACAAAAACTTGCCATGACCATCTGTGAGGTCTTCTTTCAGCTTCCCCAACACAAGCACTTAAAAAAAGGTGTTTTTTTTTTAAAAAAAAAAACTCATTTTGATGGTTGCTTACAGATATCTCTTCATGATACCTTAATTTTGTATGAAACATTTTTAAAATTCACATGGTGAAGAAAAGTCAGTTTGTTTTCTTCAAAAGGAAGTGATATCACTCATCCAATTTTCTTCTTCAGTGGTGAATATTATTATCATTCCAGCCCTGCCCACCAGGTTCTTTTTCACTGCCGAATGAAACAGCTGCATCAAGTGGTGGATATTAGGGGGAAGATGATAAAAGATGGTGATAAAAGAGCCACGATGGTACAGTAGTTTGAGTGCTGAACTAAGACTCCAAGAGACTAGGGTTCAAATCCCCGTTCAGGCATTGAAACCCACTGGATGATACTTTAGACACAGGCAATGGCAAACCTCCACTGAATGAATCCTGACCAGAAGGGCTGTCATAAGTTGAGTCAACCCATGAGAGGGTTGTCATAAGTTGGAGTCAACATAAAGACTAATAACAATAATAACAACAACTGGTGGTAATGTGGTAGAAGAGCTGTGTACATATGGCATATGGCTTGCTCTACACATACACCTTCCCTATCATGCTGCCCTCAAATTTTGTAGAAGATAGCACCCACTCATCAATGTTGAAGGCTAGAATCATAGAGTTGGAAGAAACCTCAAGGGCCATCAAATGCAACCCCCAGCCATGCAGGAACTTACAGTCAAAGCATGCTCCAACAGATGGCCATCCAGCCTTTGCCTAAAAACCTTCAAAGAAGGAGACTCCACCACACTCCAAAGGAATGTATTCCACTATCAAACAGCTCTTACTGTCAGCAAATTATTTTAGGTGGAATCTCTTTTCCTGTAGTTTCAAGTGCCAGACTGACCAGCTTCTATAGATTTGATAGAAAGTGATATCATACCCAAAGCAAAACATTTTGGGCTAGCCCTGAGCCCTCTACTGAAATATACTCGAGGGCTTTCTCATTCAGCCATAGGCTATTTGTGGAAATTCAATATTTCAAATATTTTTTCTTGTTCTCCCCCCACAGCAAAAACAAAAGCACATCCAAGTATGTGGCTCAAGATCTGTGAAGCTCATTCTCATATCACATTGTGACATCAGTGCCACTAAGCTAACAGAAGGCAAGGATGTAACATCTAAATAGCAAATTTGCATCATAGCTTGAGGTGAGAAATTTGTGGCCCTGCATATATTGATGAAATGCTATTCATATTATCTGGCTGGGGCTGATGGGAGTTGAACTCCAACATATACATTTATTTATATAGGTTTCCCAGCCCTGTCATAGACTTAGATATTAAATATGCTGCTGCAGGTTTGAATTTAACTGGCTGAACACTTTTAATTGGAGCACAAGAAAAAAAAAATCAATGCCTCCAGAAGCATACCTCTTCGCTTTTTCCCATGTTGTGACAAAACTGATTAAACTGTATTGAATAGTACTTTGTAAACAAACAAATGCATTCCAAGGCTCCATCCTCACTGCAGAAATAATCCAGTTTGACAGCACTTTAACTGCCATTGCTCAATGCTATGGAATTCTGGGAAGTGATGTTTGTTGTCAAACTGGATTATTTCTGTAGTGAGGATGCAGCTCCAGTGAAGGACCTCTTTCTGAGGACATGGTGGCCTCAATTTGGTAGATCTGAGAGGATCTGCACAGTTTTCTGGACATAATCAAGGCACATAGAACAGAAGCAGAGGATGAGGCTGCAGGCAGCACCGAGCTTCAGTTCCATGGACATAGTACTGGGGCTCCAGCTATTATTTAATCCTCTCTTTTAAAATATTGTGTAATTTTGCCATGTTTTCAAAAGCAGATATTTTAAAAAAAATTCTGTTTTAAAGCAATTCACAGCCTGATTTTGCCTCCATTTATTTAAACAATTTGTATGGATATCAGTGAATGCAATTGAGTATTTTTGAATATTAAATAGGAAAGGTTTGGAAGAGGACTCTGATTTCTTGTCCATGTTCTTAATGAAGCACAAAATAGCCGAACAAAAACAAGTTTCTGTCTAGTTAAACAACATCAAGAATTCTAATTAACACTGAGCAGTATATTGATTACCAACTAAATTCTCCTCTTTTTATCCTCATTAATGGCCAAATGATTTTCTTTGCATTACAAAGTCACAGCAGGTTACATGGATACAAGTATATACATCAGCACTATTATAAAAACCTTATGAGCTGTCCAAGATGCTAACAATTTTGGTTGGGGGCGGGAGTAAAGAGATATACATACAAGGTAATATTAAAGAAAAATGCCCAATAGTTACATATTGAACAGAGAGCAAAATCTGAGAAAGTATTTTAAAAATTCAGTTACTATTATAGTTTCAAAGCCCCTTCAAAGTAGTTAGTAATAATCACAATTTCAATGTATTAAAACCGTCACTCTTTCCTGTTTCTTCAAAAAGGAACCAATGCCAGACACTATTTCCTGTTTCTCAAAACAAGAACTGGTAGCCACTATTTTCTGTTTCTTAAAACAAGTAAGTGTGACAGCTATTTTTAATTACTTTTTAAAAATCTAAATGATACAAGTTGCTGACCTGTGGGATGCAATTCATTCCCCTCCCATCCACCTTGTTATCACTTCCACCCTCACAACAGAACATGAGGGAACAGTACAAATCACAGCATAAATCAGCATTTGACTCCTATAATAGCCTCCTACTACCATTTAGTTTGACCAGTCCCCATAAATATGGTCTAAATCCATTTGCTAATCCCAGCTAGAGCAGACCTATTGAATCAATGGAACATATGTGGTTGTTAACTTACCAAATTCCCATTATTTAATGAGGCTATTTTAGTTGGGACCCCAGATGGAAAGAATATTAGAAAATATTGGTGGGAAATGATTGAAAAACAAGTGTCTTGAGTGATGGAAAAAACAAACAAGGAGCAAGCTAGACAGATGAGCATTTTTGCAGCTCAGGATTTATTCTGCCCCAAAAAAATGTACATTGCTGTGTGTTTGTGCATACAGAAAATGGTGTTGCATGTTTCTTGTGCAGAAAACAGATTTTTCTGCATGTAAAATAATATTTCAGTGCAAAAAATTCTGCTTGGATTTTTTTGTGCAGGAATTTGCTATCTGCACAGAAAATATTATGCATTTTTTTTTTTTTTTTTTGCACAGAGCTGGAAATATTTAGAAAATGAACAGTTTCCAACAGCTTTCTCACAGCAATGAGAAAAAATAATATTATTTGTTCTAGTCTACAAGAATGAAATTTAAAAAGATTTGCAACTTTAGTTGGATGTATACCAATAAAAATAAGAAAAAAGTTACTGTGAAAAAATGGTAATTATCCACAATTAAGGTACATTCATAGTGCAATATAGTTATTCATTCATTATTGGAAATACTATTTTCAATTAGTTAAATGAAAGTAACCCATTATTTCTTATGCGTTAAATTTCAGTATAAGAGTGACAACAAAGAAGTACAGTTAATATTTTAACTTGAGTTTGATTAATCTGTGATTTATCATAATTAAAGCTAGGATTTCAATTCAGTTTCAATACAATTATTTCAATTAACATATTATTATCACACTTTCCAAGGTTGCAAGTTTCTAAACATATTTTCCATACTAGTACTCTCTATTCAGGGAATAGATCTTTCTGGAACACAAATAACAGACACAACCTAAAATAAATGTGCTGAGGGAACAATTTCTGCCATCTGTCTGGTAAAGCTGATCCATAACAGGCACAACCTAGGAAAATGTGCTATGGGAACCAGTAGAAATGGCTGGCCCAGAAACTGGTATGTATTCAAGGGTATAGCTGTAGGGATGAGGGTGAAATGAGGTCATTGAGCCCCCAAATAATAATTCTGCATTCCAGTGAAATTTTCTCTGATTCCTCAAATTTCTAGCCTTGCTTAGAAGTTTAGGCATCCAAAGAAAAGGAGCAGACAAGTTATCAAGGAAATGCAAACACAACAAATATACAATGTTCTAGTATAGATGATTTTCAGTGTCTTACTCTTTGCAATGCTAGAAATTTGGAGACTAAAGAAAAATTTTAATGGGGGACATAGTTCTTATTTAGGTAGCTAATGTCATCATCCCCCCCCCTTCATCCCTTCATTTGGGATTGTATCAATCTCTGAAGCCTGAGCTCCTAAAGATTCTTAGTTTTCCGCTTTTATGTTTATTCTGACTTTGGTCCACATTGGATTGTTACTGGAAAAGGAGTAACATGTCTCCAGAGGGATGTGATGAAAGCTCATTGCTGTTCATTAAGCATAGATGATTTTTGGTTTTCTTGATACTTAGCTGAGGTATTTATGAGGTCTGAAATTTGGTACCTGCTGGACTGAGGTGTGAGAATTTGCAGATACTTTATTACAAAAGTAATAAAAGTAATACTGCTTCGGCCATTCATTTTAATTGTGTGATTCTCAGTCAAGGCAATTTGAATTCCTTCATTGGGTTGTGGGTGTGGGGGGGAGAAAGAAAGGAGTTTGGGTCTAAATATAAGCAAAGGTCATCCATCCTTGTTAGACATTGTGGAGTGAAAGATAGTGGAGTGTTTTATGGCTCTTTTCAGTTAACACCAAAGATGAGTTTTTCAGATATACACATTTTGTATCTTTCAGTGTGGCCTGCTTTAGAGCAGATGGGAAAGTCTCCTGATCAAAAAGAAACATCATTCTAGTGAAGTAGAAAAAGGTTTTCCTTTCTTTTCTTTTACTACATCTCATCTTCCACACTGTTCTGGAGAGTTCACTAACTCACCAGAATAGCTTCTAAAGGGGTGGAAAAAGACAGAATTAGCTTTTTAAAAAATATATTTTAAAAATACCGTAAAGTAGTAATTATCACTTAGAAGTTATTAAGATATATTGATGAAATTCTGTCAGTGTCATCTTTCATTCCTAAGAACATGATGTTGAGAATATCAGCTTATTGTGTCCTTTATTTTTGTTACAGGCTATGCCAGAAATGACTAAAATGTAAGATGCAGAAGACTGAGGCTCGCAGCATGATAAAGTTCCTGCATTTGAAGGTTAATAGTGTCC